AACAAAGTTATTATTCTCACTCATCGAGTTTAAAACCAGAAATATAAACAAAATAAAGGCCATCCATCCCTGGCAATTCATCGGGCAAATGGGCCTTATATCACTTTTAAATATCAAGTCTCGTTTGCACTCAAATCACGAGTTAGAAAGCGTAAAATATTTCCAAAAATGTTCTGTATTTATTGTAATAAAGATATTTTCTCTACCAATGGGAGGTTGTTCCATTCGGTGGTGTGGGAAAAACAGCAAAACATCTAATTACAAAACAAACGGAACCACATTTCATCTGTAATTAAATACGTAATTTTTCAATTTTCGTCCATTATATAGCAAATATATTATTATAGCAAAGCTCAAGTTAAACTGGTCGATTTGAAGTGGTATAATTGACGACACCCGTCAATTGTTTCGAATTCGGGCTGGCCAATCGGAGCGGGGTTGTCACCGTAATGATATGACAGAATAGTTTTCAAACAAATTAAATGATTTTTCGTCTCTATTTCTGGTTCTATACTCGATGTTCTCACAACACTAGCTTCACTGTTTATTTATTAAGATGTAATAAAAAATACGGTATTTATTAGGTTTTCGCAACTGTTACACATATATAGGAAATGAAACTATTTACGGGCCCAATACAAATCGCATACACACGGCTAACTGCGAAAGTAATTTAATCAACCAATTACAGCAAAATATGAATGCATACCACTACGTTTTTAATAGTTACATAAGTTGTTAATTAAATACGTTATTTTAATTTTTCAAAGAACATTCCAATTTACGCTACGTAATGTTTTTGCAAAATATTTTATTTTATTAACAATATTATATGAATTTTTAATAATTTATTTATTTATATATCGTATCTATCGTATAATCGTATTTATTTATATAATCGCGAAAACCTAAGAACTCAGGTTTTCGCGATTGTTACACATAGGAAATGAAACTCTTTTTCCGGATTTAAATCGCGTATATTTATAATAACAAATATACGCGATTTAAATCCGGAAAAATAGTTTCATTTCCTATTATTTATTTATACTTGCTAAATAATGAAAATTATAAATAAATTAAAATTTAACATGTTTATTAGTACTGCAGTCTTATGTCTAGTTGGAATTTTTCATCAGAGGAACTACTGGATCCTATGTGGTGTGGAGAAACCATATGAAATCCCAGCTGAAATTAGAATCTATTTTACTTTTAATTGCCTCTTGCATCATCCTGGTTAGATAATGGCCTTCTTTTGCAAGAACCTACGGACAATTGCGTTATTAATAATAATAATAATTATTTACGTTGTTGATCTCCAGTACATTTTGTTTAAATTCCTAGAACAGCCAAGTCAGTTGCCAAGAACGCAAGATTATATTACACTAAAGTGGGATTTATTTTTGTTGACACTTGTGACGTACAACATATTCTGTGAACACTTACCCTACTAGTACAGGACAAGGTTTGAGCAACGGTAAATTAAAATAAAATAAAAAAAAAGACATTTTTGACGAACTCTGTAGTTGAATGGTTTAGTTTTCATGGTGTCACCACGCGTCGATTCCCGGCCAGGTCAATGTCGAAAAACAAACTTTTCTATATTGTGATACATATATACAGTTTATATATATACAGTTTTCTATATGTGATAATAAAAAAAAATTAAAAATTTGACAACATCACATACATTAACTGCCTCCGTGGCCGAACGGTTACCATGCCGGACTGCCACGCAGAGGTCCCAGGTTCGATTCCCGGGCCGGGCGAAATATTTGTATGACCTACATTTATTTCTCTCGTGAGTTTGGATGTAATTTGTGGTTGTCTATGTGTGTGTCCATGGCACCCGCGACACAGGGTTTCCCTAGTGCGGGGCTATGTTGAGTGTGTGCGTTATTATTACTCTGATCCCAACGTATGTAAATAAAGCACTAGTGTTATGGAAATCGGAAACAACGACGGAAGTTAAACACCCAGACCCGAGATAATATAGAAAAGTTAGTTTTTATACATTGACCCGGCCGGGAATCAAACCCCTGACCTCAGAGATGGCGACACCATGAAAACTGGTATGCAAGACATTCGACCACTGAGGTCGTCAAATATAGAATATGAAAGTAATAATTTGAACATTCTATTGCAATACTTTCTAGACTGAACTTAATTCTATGTCTAATCCTTCAAAATCGAACCCAAGTCCACCGATGTAGAGGCAAACGTTCACTCAACTAGGCTGTCACTGCTTTGTCGCATTTGCACTTATTAAGAAACAATCAAAAACAAATTTGTTGACAAGTCCTTTTATCATACAACCACAAGACTCGCAAACATTTAACAACGCCAGTAACAAACTTCCTGGCTGCTCGTTAGAGTAACTTTTACTGTAATGCGATCTAACTAGATTTACTACGGAAATGAACCTGGTGTCACATTACATTCATGAGAATGTAATTTAGATGCTGATAAACAATGACATGCCACCTAAGATTTTTTCGTCGTACTGCAACTGCTATGGACAGGGGTGTCACCACTAGACGCACGACTTCGTGTCGTCACTTGGAATCATAATAATAAATTAGATAAGTTCAAAGTAGAATTTTCTGTTCTTAAATTCAAAGTATGTTTACACTAATTTCTTAATTAAATGCCATGTAAAGTAATAAAGGGATAACATTCATAATTCATAAAACAAAATATAATTTGTTTACGAAATAATTACATTTGAAGAAAGATGACTTATACACGCTACGTTATACCGGAGTGTTTTACCTCTACAGGTATGCCTGAGGGTCTATCATAAGCTTTCAAAAAAATTTTATTTCAATGTAAGCATAAAGAAAGCTTATTATAATATTACTTATATTCGTACAATGAGAAACCTATCAACCAAGTAATATATTATTGCTAAAGTGACTGAAAGAACGAATGATTTCCCAATATTGCCTATTCCTTACTATATGTAAAAATAGGAAAGAAATAACGCTATATGAACTGTATAATGCCATCTGTTTCTTTTTTGTTGTTCCTAATCGTCCTATCGTAGTATAAAGTTAAAACACTTAATATTATTTACATTCAGAGAATTTTGACTGCTAAAAAAAGAAAGGTATGTAATTATGAAATCCATTAAAATTGCGTCCGCATTTTTGTGAAGAAAAATAAATAAAACAAGCTGAGTCTTGATTGTCACGTTGTGAATTCGGAATTATAGTCTAGTGTCAACTGTTAGTGTCGCCAAGGAGCGTATAGATGTCGCTGTTATAACTTTACGAAATAAACATCGAGTATTTTTATTTAACGAGAAATTATTTCCTATATACTATTAAATAAAAAATAAACAAAATATTGAAGAGATATATGCAAATAAACAAGTTCAACTTAACTTTTAATCATTACAAATCAATATTTAGATAATAAATTCGGAAATAATATAGTTTCCATTGCATCCGTGTAACAATATTAAGATTGCTAAATTTGACATAAGAACGACTTTAACGTTAAAGTCGCATCATAGTACGAACTGAGTGAATGAATAGTCACTAAAGCTGCCAATAAAACATCATAGTTTTAACAATAATAAGCTTACGTTAAACGCGTCATGGTACGAAAAGTCAATGTAAGGTTAAAGTAATATTGTTTTAAGAGGTTGTGGTAGGCCCCCTGGCCGCTTGTCGTAACGTAAGTGGGACTATCCGTTATGCCGGAGAGGTTTTCAGTTAATTTCGATATGGCATCGATTGAAGACGACGACGATGCGCTGGCCTTGATAAGCTTTGCGTTAATCATAAAAAATAATAATACAAAACCGGTGGTTAGTTGAATCGGACGTTGTCATTTTTTGTTACGCACTAGAGTACAAACGACGACTACTCTATACCACTAGAAATCAAATAACGCTACTACTAATACACGCACACATGTACAGGTTCACCGTAAGGTATCGCTAAAAAAAATTTATTTTTATTTTGGTACACAAAACTGCACAGGTCTGTTCTAATACAGGTTCCGGTCTGCCTGCACAGGAAGACCTCTCCGGTATAACGTAGCGTGTATGGCTGGCATTACAGTATTCTTAAAGCCTTCTAAAATCCGTCTTCAACTTACGGAGTACATATTCTGTGCCTCGACTCTAAATTCGAAGCTCAGAATGTATGTACATATCATTTGGTGTATACTAAATTTTCCTAAGCGTTGCAAAGCAGCATAATACCGGCTCACTCTGCGAGTGCGCGCACACCTAGATAGATTAAACTAAGCCTGTGGAGGATAAGTCAGGTAAGATTCAAAGTAAGCTGTATATATAGCCTCAGCGCAGTTAGTGCGTTCAAGTGAAATGTATAACAGATATAACAATATTAGTTCCGATACGGTGAAACGTTACACAGAAATAAAATTTCATTTTGTCCTTTTTGTCCTTTGTAAATGCCATGTAAAGTACATTAGATAGTTCAAATTCAAATTCCTTTATTCTCAGACCAATTAGTCCATATTTGTTGGTAACTATCTTATGAGCTAAGTTAGGACATTAAATTAAATTACATTATTATTAAAAATACATTATTATATGTCCACGTGTAACACAGTGAACCTACGGAAAACAGCCGAGTCCATTATTCCTGCTACGTAGGTCACTCAATAAGTTTTGAGATAAAGAAAAAATATCAAACATATTAATATAATTTATTTTACATTTTTTCAAAATACTCTCCATCATTATCTACACAAAGTTTCATTCGTCTAAACCAACTCTGAAAACACTTTTGCCAGTCTTGATCTGTCAGCATTGCAATTCCCATTTCGTAGGCAGCTACTGCTTCTTCGACACTCAAAAAAAATTTTCCTTTGATTTTATCCTTCACTGTTGGGAACAAAAAGAAATCGCAGGGAGCCAAGTCAGGGCTGTACGGCGGGTGATTTAAGGTTTCTATACCAGATTCCTCAATAAACGCCTTTGTTCTGAGGGACGTATGTGAAGAGGCGTTATCGTGATGTAGCATGATTCACCGGAGCCCGGTCTTTGGTCTCCTCTCCCGCACAGCTTGGAAAACTTTTGGCAATGCTACTGTTGTGTACCATTCTGAATTAACAGACCTACTATTTTCTAACATTGACGTCGACAAATGTCCGCTCCGAGAAAAAAAACTAGCTACCATTTTTTTGCCGACGTTTCGAGGTCTTTGCAACTTTGTCGGTAATTGTCCCTCTGCGAAGACCCACACCGACGACTGCTTCTTGCTTTCTGGATCATATTGATAGATCCATGTTTCATCACCAGTAACGATTTCTGAAACACGTCTCGATGTCCCGTTTTCGAAACGTATAAGCATTTCTCGGCACCAATCCACTCGAGCCTGTTTTTCAGCACCGGAGAGCAATCGTGGGATCCATCGACAACAAAGCTTCCTCACTCCAAGATGTTGATGCAGGATAGTATTGACGCTTCCCGAACTAATGCCTAGGATCTTCTCAATGTTCGTGTACGTGATTCGTGGGTCTTCTCGCACCAACATTTCAGATGTCCACACATTTTCTGCAGTAACTGCTGTTTCCGGGCGTCCGCCTCTTAGGTCATCTTCAAGGTTAGTTTTGCCTCTTTTAAATTCCTTAAACCACCTAAAAACTGTTGCACGAGAAGGAGCAGAGTCCTCTAATGCAGACTGCAAACGTTCCAAACTCAATTGTTCAGATAAACCACATTTAAAATCATGGAAGATCACGCAAATGTTCACGGTTAAGATCCATTATTGTAAAGAAAAAGCGCGGGAAGCGTTGTAGTAAAATGACTAACAATGTCATTTTTTTTAAATTTAGCTAAATTGCTTTTGGTGATCTATTTTTAAATAAATTTGCTTTTTAACAACATATGATACGGGTGCGTTCCATTTTTAAATCTCGAGCATCTCAAAACTTATTGAGTGCCCTACGTATCATCCTCAGGATACCATTGGTGCTCCCACGCAAACACAACACAAACGTGTCAGAGGCGCTGTAAAGCGAGGAAGCCTCAACAGAACCCTAAAGATGTTGTTGTACATTACACGCAAGGCGTCGTACGCTCGCTGTGACGTTGGTCGACAGAGAACCTGTATAAAAATTCTGGCAGTAAGCTCTAAAAAGAATTATCTTTACATTTACAGGAAACCTCTAAGCCAACATGTTACCGCGCACCGACAGCGCCCGGCGCTGTATACCAATATAATTTTTTTTTATAATATCTAGTGGCACGACGAACAAGTCGTGCGCCTAATGGTAGGTAAGCTACACGCCTGTCCATAACATTTGCAGTGCCACTCAGAGCTTTAAATCACAAAGATCTGAGGTTCACTGCCACTGCGCCCATCACCCTGAGACATACGTTGACAAGTCCCATGCGCCTGTAATTTCACCAGTATATCATCACAAAAAATCTCCAAGATTTTGACTAATAATATTCTAAGTACTTAAACCGAGAAACACGATTCAAGTTACTACACCATTTAGAAGAAGCGGTCCAAGCACACGACTATATTGTCGCGTTACTTGATATCCTTAAAAGAAACAGTAACGTACTTGAATTACTAGATTCCAACACTATAGAGTTGCCAGTATTTACCTATAAGCGCATTGACCTATATATAAGCGATAAATTATTGACATGCTCAAAAGACACGTCCCATAATTTATACGGGATAAAAAAATATAAATTTAATGTTTTGTTCATTTATCTTTTTTGTTTATCCGTGTCGTTTTTTGGAGTGGCAAACTTACTGTTCTTTAAAAATCTGACACAATATAATCAGCAGTAGGACTATACTACGTAGAGTACAATACCGTAAGTGTAAAAAAACCTGTGCAGTTTAAGTAACTGCTAGCTGGCTAATTATGCAGTTATATATATAACTAGTTAGCTGAATTAGTTCATAATACGGAAGCTTCGGGAAAGTTGAAACATGCGATCAAACGCCCCCTGCGTTTGGCAACTTCAGCCATATTACTTGATACTACATATATGTCAAATAGCTCTAGGAGTAAGTTCAAGTTCATGTTGACTTTTCAAGGCGAAAGTTAGTAGATATTATTAATTTGTGCATGCTTAATTGTCGACCTCCTCGTCACCATCCATCAAGCAAAATGGAGATCAAATGCGCATTAATTTTTAAATAAAAAATTAATTAATAAACTTATAGGATCTGTATTGGTATGTATTGATTTAAATTGCTTGCGTCTCTAAAGTACATAAGGTAATTAAATTTGTATTGAATTGATATTCATTTTTTGTTTTTGTGAAATTACTTCACTAATTTGCTATAATTATTAATACAAAGATCGAGTATTTAGAAAAAGTTCCTTTGATCCGGCCGAATTCCAGCCGACGTCTTCCAGCAAGGTAACGTGACGTCTTCTACATAAAGTAGGTACATAAGTTTGTATTCGAATTAAGACGACACTTCGAAAATACATTGTAGGTTATGAGTGGAACTTGACAGAACTCGCAAGGGGTGTCACCACTCAAAACATTGTCATCCGTCATTCAACAATTTTCGCGCCTTTATTGCACCGAGAACAGAGAATACAAGGAGTCGCTAAATATGGTGTGTTTTGCTGTGATGGAAGTTTTTGCCAAACCCATGCTATGGTAAAAAAATAAGCTTTTAAATTTTTGATGTACTATTTGAGACTTTTTACATCTTAATTTGGGAGAATAAGTCTAACGTGCAAGAGTCCTCCACGACGACTCCCACCCCCGTCCTGCATAGAGTAATTACCGTTTAAATTGATTTGTGAAACGACGAATGTAAAGGATTAAAAGTTTAAAGAAGTAAAAAGTTAATTCCCTTTTTATTCTGTTTAAGAGCTGGCGCTTCAAGGAAAGTAATAGCTTTTCTATTGATATTTTTATTTCTATCAGATTGAGAGAGCTTTCAAGGAGACATATCCGAAGCCAAATCTAGCACATTTATCTCCGCACCTAAGAGGCTTAGTTACAGAGGTGCAAGTTCGTGCAAATAATTAGTCCGTACAGGGGATAGGCTGAAAGGGAAACGCGGTAATTAATGCAAGTCCCCTCAGTACAAAGTGACAGAATGATACAGTGAGCATAATATAGGGTAGGTATAAACAATTAATGAAATTAACATTAAAGGGAATTCACGTTATCCCTTTTCGCGGTGAAAGTTGTTTGAAGTGTGAATTATTATGATGAAGGTCCTTGTGTATTTATGGAGCTAATGAGTTGGAGACAAATAGTGTTACCACCATTTCGATAATCATATTATGATTTAGATTATCTCTTTGTTGTTATTCATAGTTATTTATGGTGCTTTTATTATATATTCTTTTTTTTCGGTCGGTCCGAACAATACGTGCGCCTTATGGTAAGCTACATGCCTGTCTATAACAGTTACAGTGCCACTCAGAGCTTTAAATTGTATAGATCTGAGGGGCACTACCACTGCGCCCGTCACCCAGACATAAGTTGTCAAGTCCCATGTGTATCCACCAAGTCCACCAGTATACGCAGTTTTGTCAACCGCTGGTGACCACAGTATTAAAAACGAGATGACCTTGACATCATATTTGATATCACTTGACAAGGAGTTGTATGTGATCGAAATGTTATTGGCGCCCACAAAAACTGTGCGGTTATTTGTAAAACATTAAAAACCTCGCAGGACTATATCGAAGCTGGAATGGTGAAACGCCTGAGGTGCATTGGGAAAATATTACAGAACAGTGATTTAAAGTAATTTCTTTTAGGAAAAAACTCTACTTTTCATCATAACTCTAATTTTATTTGTTACATGAAAAACAAAAAGGTTTCAACTTTTCCATACAACAAATAAAACTAGTTAGAACTTTTTCTTTTGTAAATTAGACGATTTACCTTTCCAGAGTCGATATTACTAACATCACGAATGACAATTTGTGTTCCATGATTTTTAATAATTTAACCAGTTTCACTTTCGATCAAAAATAGATAGCTCCAAACGGTGGTAACTCTGCGCGGCAACAAAAGAAAGCGCTAGCGTAAATACAAGAACGGTGCGTAACACAGGAGAAGAGGTAGGGGTCATCGCGAGGACGCTTGCACGTTTGAACTTATTACTTTACTGCCAAATACAAAATGTAAAAGTGTCCGATAGTACAAAACAAACTTCAAAGTTTATTTTTGTGTTGTTAGTGTTTTGCAAATAATCATGTATTTAATTTTCAGTACAAAGTAGAAATCAGTGGTGCCAAAGGGTATTTATTCGATGGTGGTTATTAATAAAGAATGAAGACGATCTTAAAGTCAATATTTTCTTTGTACAATCCCTTTTTTGTTCGCAGCTTAATGCTTTTGCTGATAAAAACGCCGTGGTAATCAAACGGTTCGACCTACCGCCTTTCAAGCAGAGGCGGTGGTTTCGAATCCGTGCTCGCATCCCTGAGTTTTTCGGACTTTATATGGGAAATTCAATTTGAAGATTTTCATGAGCTTTTCGGGGAGGGAAAACGCCATAAATGCAACCTGCACGTCGAAGATTGTCCACAACTCTTGGAAGACGTGTGAAGACCCCACTTCGCATTGGGCAAGCGTGGTGGACTATGACCTAAACTCTCGGTTTAAAAAGAAGAAATGTGACATCCGATACTATCATCATCCAATGAACGGTTGAACGTGGTACACACGGATTATTCGGAGTTGGTTTAATAATAATATCTACATTTCAGTTTTAATAAACACTTCATTGATACATTTACACTTATATTATATACTATATATTATGACTTATACTTATATGACTTATAAGTAATCGATGACTGATTCAATTAAAAATGCAAATTTATAACTTGAAAATGAATTTCATTTTGGAACTACTTCAATATATAGGATCTACTAGGATAAATTAATAACATAGTATCTTACACACATGGGGTCGATAAACCAAGTTACGAGTGACTTAGACCAAGGGAGCACATAGTCTACTTGAGACACGTAGATCAGTAGATACGTATGTTGTGCAGTTGTGTAATAATTTCGCACATGGGGCCGATACGCCAAATTATGAGAGCAAAATGTCGATTATGACCAAACATTAAGTTAGATGAGATTTAGATGTATTTAGATTATAGTTATTGTGGGCGAGGATTAAGTGAAAAAACGCCTAGTGTAAATTGAGCTTCTTGATCTTGGTTTTGCTTGGATCGCGGTGAGATTTGGAACGCCTTCGGATTCTTATGCAGTCAGTTTTGGAATGTCGTTCCTCTCCCAACGCTCCGTCTTTTATATCATCGCTGGCCCGCCGCACCGCTCGCATTCTTTTCAAGTGTGCGAGCGGGACGGCACCAATGCAGGAGCGGGACGGGAGAACCCTACAGACTCCAAGCAAGACCCCTCTCTCCCTCTCGTTTATTTACCAAAATCTTAAACGAAATTAACAATAATAAATTACAATATTATAAATCATATGGGCGCGAACACGTTTTCATCCTGAACGGTTATTGTCAACAATACGTTTGTATTACAAGCTAACTTTTTATAAAAAATATTGATCTGAAAAGAAGGATGACGAAAGCTGCCCCAATAAAGACGAAGAGTCGTTCATGGACTTTGCTCGTATAATTTTACGTTTTAGTTTGTGCTTTATTATCAATATTATGTAATTTTGTATATTTTTAGAAGTCGGGTACAAAAAAATTGTAAATCATTGTATTTTACAATAAATGCAAGAACAGAACACAATTGATTCAGTTCGACCATAGATTAAGTAACGTTCTTGTACATACGTTTCATTTTAAGCATGATTGAATGTTTACCTACCTGAAGTATAGGTTATTTTAAAGTATACACATTAAAACTATGAAATACCCAATGAAATAATCAATTAAACATTAATATAATAGAGCAAAAAATATAACGCAATGTGATAAAAATATTTAGACAATATTTGAATGGGATATAATGAAAGTTGCAAAGGAACGTTTTGACAAGAGGTCTCTTGCCAATGTCAATATCACTTTGAGATTGAGAACAGTGTGACCATTTGTGGCAGATTTCTGCCATTTGGGCAGATTTAATTTTTATTCATTTTCATTGCTGCAGAACGTGATAAGTTATATTAAATGTGGCAGAGTTTGGCAAATTTGGGAATATTCAGGTTCTTTATTATTTTAAGGAACGAACTGAAAACTTGTTGTTTTCTGCTACTACGAATAATATCTGAAGCGAATTCTGAAGGTTATATATATAACAGGACTATGTTATATGTATAACCTATATCAACTATATAACCCCAGCTTCTAAAGTCTGTACTCAATTAGTTTTGTTAATGCTGTGATAATGAATCACAAGTATTGATAGGTCTCCTTTAACGCACGTTGTCACAAAATAAACGGGATGTCGCCATCCTTCTTTGTGAAATGACATCTATTTGCTTTTGCCTGTTATTTAAATCGGTTGATGGAAATTGGGTGAAGTCCAATAAACCGGATTCATAAAAAAAATATAATCATTTATTTCGGAACCAGATTGTTAGTATAGTACAAAATACTAGGCCTAAGGTTACACAATGAAAAATACTGCAGCACAAAAACCAATTAGATAATTGTTTTTGGTTTTAAATGATTTCTTTGCCGTAGCGCCATCTATCTGTGAGAAATCTACGAAAGTTTTTCTTCACTCGGCCAGGGAAAGACTTTTTCTAAGTGTTCGATCTTTTTATTAACAATTATTACAAACTGGTAGAGTAATTTCACAAAAATAATTGAATATCACGGTGCTTAAACAACGTGACATTGAAAAAGCTTAAAAATTACGAAAGCTTAAAAATTAATAACATTATGCGACGGCAATGCAGTCGACAGAATGCAGTCGCATCCAACGGGTGAACTTCCTGGCGAGTCCCAACTAGCGGATAACGCGCTCAAGACGCGGTTGGGACTGGGATGTTAAGCATTACTACCTCCCGGTTATGAAGGGTAAGGGTGCTGGTGTAATCACAGGCACATGGGACTTGTCAACTTATGTCTCTGGACGACGGGCGCAGTGTCAATGTCTTACA